AGTACAATGGACTCTCGGTTTGATCGTTAATTATTTCCATCAATCTTCCTCTCGCATAAAAAACGCTTAACACCATACACCTCTTCCCATTCTCCAGTTTTTCCTCCACCTCACATTCACCCCCATCAAACATTACCATTATCATCAAGATCTTCAAATATTTGTACTACCACTTGTGCCTCCGATGAAAATTCAACCCCTTTTCTCTCACGTCTTGCCTCGAATAGCGTCCAAGTCTCACCGAATCTCCCTCCATTAGTTGAAGCTCTTCTTCGTCCTTGATGCCCATTCAAACTAGCCACATTTAACGTGCGTACCTTGATGCATATAGGACAACAGACATGTTCAGCTCGTACCCTCGAGACCCTAGCCATCGGTGTGTTGTATCCAAGAGGCTCGCATTCAAGACTCTAGCTCTGCCATCCGATTGACGTCCCCGTCAAGCCCATTCACGAAGTTTCACCTGCGTCTGAGGATGCGGCTGCTGGCCTTGCTGGCGTTGGCGTGGCTCTGATAGAGCTGAAACCGCGTTCCTAGATTGGATCCCAGTCGACAGTAGGTTATGCGCAGTGAGACTTTTTATTACAACTAAGTGTGATGAATAGCAGACGGGGCTTGGAGTGGTGAACCGCATAAGGCCTCGATAGAGGCTAGTGAAAAGTAAATAGTCGTCTCTCCGAAAGACGCAATTCGTTTGTCCTCTCAGTGTACCTACCCCTCGAACTGTAGCCCAGATACAGTCAAAGATACTTTCTACCAGTCCGTTGAAGATCCGAGACGCGAATTCAAGATCCCAGCAGTGTAAGCCACTCAACTGCGTCGCGTTCGACTCTGAGGCACTGCATCACGAAACGACGAATACCGTTTAGTTGGCCAGCATGGAGTAAGTACTAAAATCAACCATAGCAGAAAACTCACTTGTCGATGAGATCCGTCATTTATGTGCAACGTGGTTTCAGGGAACAACCAGTGTTTGGAATCCATATCACAAGATACCTGTTCATCATCTCAGCATACTCATCGACCAGTTGCGATCACAAATCACAAAAGAACGAGTTCCACAACATATTCATTTGGTTGAGACGAAGCTCCCATATAGTTCTACCGGCACACANCCCCGCACAGGCTGAATAACTAAGCTCATCAGGATTATGACTAGGACATTGTGTTCCGTCCTACCAGCAGGGCTGTATCCTAATTGGTGTACCACCAGGTCAAGGATAGTTGAATGGTGGTTTGGTGGCTAAACGTTGATAAGGCGGCTTCAGGTCAATTAAATCAGCGGACAACTAGTGACAGAACTCGAGGACGTGGTGGCGAAGGTGACGACCGTGTCTCGCTACTAGTCATCGTCATTGCACAACGAAATACAGTGGAGAAATTCACTGATTGCTGCCAAACTCATAATACAAGGTAAGTGGGAATGTGTAAGGAGGATAGGGATTGGGCCTATTTTTAGGAACGGGAAAAGGTGAACCTCTATGGTCAATACATACAGTGCATAGTCCAACTGTACATACACAATACTTCAAGCATTCTGGTTTGATAACAAGTGACAGCAAAATCATCACTAATGTCGGTTTGCTGCCATAACCTTTAGCGTCTCCGGCCGTCCAGTTACCGAGTCTTGTGGACCCCAAACCGAAAGACTAGAAACACCTACTCTACCTAATCGCTCT